TGACTACAGGAAGCCCCTGCCCCGGGCTTCCTGGAATCAGCCGCTGATCAGTTTCAGCAGCAGCTGACTTGGGGATGCCTGGGGTTCTTAAGTAGAATATGTGAATCTGTATGTAAGTCAGAACTGGCGTCCAGATTCAGCCGCTGTTGAAACTGATCAATTTCAGCAGCGGCTGAATCTGGATGCCAGTTCCGACTTACATGCAGATTCAACTTAAGAACAAACCTACAGTCCCTATCTTGTACGTAACCCGGGGACTGCCTGTATTTATGTCTACACAAGCTTAGTGTGCATTAGTACAGTTCAACATTTTTCCCCAGAGGAGTGGCTTCCACTGTAATAAAGGAGATTTGGGGGGAAAGCTTTGGTGCAGTCATTTTCATTACTTTCTTCCTTGGTGACTAGTAGAGTGAACAGCATGTTCATGCTTTAAGCACTTGTCCAAAATACATGGAGTTTTTTGTTATTATAGGAAGTAAAGCATTTGGAATGAAAATGCTTTTTAATTACCTCAACATTGTCTCTCTTCTCTACTTCTGCTTTTTGCAGGAAGGCTCACTACATGAAGAGACTCGGCCATGGTATTATCAACAAGTGTATGCAAGATACTGGAAGCATTACAACCAAGCCATGCACTGGATGTACAAGCACAAAAATGCCTATAGGAAAGCCATGGAGTCCTTTTATCATCTGTCATGGAGTCCACCCGAAACCTTTCCTACTAGCCGTTATTCAGATTGGGATGGAGGCAACCCATCAGATGCTGACAACTATTCTCCATACGCTCCAAACAGCAGAATGCGTTACCCTTCCTGGTCCCAGCAATACCCAGGTGCCCACTGTAGATCCGGAGTGAGCCAGGAAATGGGCAGAGATTCTGAAATGGAGAACGATTCTGAGTCTGAAGAGGAGATAGAGTGCGACCTGAGCAACATGGAGATCACAGAGGAGCTCCGCCAGTATTTTGCACAGACAGAGAGGCACAGGCAGGAGTTACGTAAGTTCAGGCCTTGGTTGTATTTTATACTTTCCATTTCAGCCTGGGATAAATATGTCCTTAATGTAACACAGGAGTAACTGGTACTAAATGTAAATGAACCAGTGAAAATACATGTGTTTTTTTTACATAGAGAGAATGAGTAATGATTTGGAGAGTGGATGTAGAATGTGTTTGTTCAGGAGCAAATGCTGCATTTGGATCAATTCTGGGGGAAATTGAATGCTTCTGGAGCATTAAGATGGGTAGTGAAAATCTCCCATCTTTTTCCTCAGCAAGAACAGATCATATTAATATTTTAATTATAATTTTTTTCTATAAAAAATGAGCCTTTGAGTGATTTCTAAATTTCCATTACTCTGTCCCTACCATGCTCATGTTTTCCTTCAAAAATACCCAAGTACTGAATTGTTGGATAATAATAATAATAATGGAGATTGCCTATCTTCTAGAACTGGAAGGGACCTTGAAAGGTCTAGTCCAGTCCCCTGCCTTCACAGCAGGACCAAGTACCATCCCTGAAAATTTTTTGCCCCAAATCCCTAAATGGCCTCCACAAGGATTGAACTCACAACCCTGGGTTTAGCAGGCCAATGCTCAAACCACTGAGCTGTCCCTCCCCCTCTTATTTCCTTTAAAATAAAATTTAAAAAATTAATATTTAAAAATCTTGAATCATTTGATGCTCACATTTTAAACTAACACTTAAGTCAGTTGAGTCAGAAGAAATGAATATGTCAGTATTCTCAAAATCTTGGCTTCTTAAAGTTAAATTTAGTAAAATCCTAGATTCCTGAAATGTACAGCCCAAAGGAAATTCCTAGGTACATTATTTAATGCTAGAGGAAGCTGCTGTGTACTCTTTCAAGATGGAGTAGCACTGAACAAAGTCATTTAAGAAACAAAAGTTTAAGATGGTAACACTTGCCACCATCATACCAGCATTGGAAAGAGGTGACTGGTTTCATCCCTCAACTTGCAAGATGCACATTTTCATATTTACACCTATCCTGCTCATGGGAAATAGGTACTCAATGCTACCTGTTCAAGGTCTGACCATTTGTCCTTTCTACAGCTTGAAGACTCTTCAGAGGTGTTTTCAGTTGTTACAGTATATCTGTGGAAGCAAACCAAATCACTCATCGTTTCTCTGCTCTCCTGTCTCCGCTTCTTGGCTCTGGACCTGCGTTATCCCTTTGATCCATGGCATCCACTTCAGGACATTCCCACACAGTTCTCCTCCTTCCGAGGCTATGTGCAGTCTGCAGTGTCGCACTTTCCTCAGTGGCCAACCGCAACGCACAGTCTAGCCCAGTGGTCCCCAACACAGTGCCTGCGGGCGCCATGGAGCCCGCGGGGGCATTTGTGTGTGCCCACCAAGTGCTCGGGGCTGGCGTGGCCCCAGGCACGTGGCGCATACATGGTGCCGGAGCCACCCCGGGCGCATGGCACACGGTAAGCGCAGGCCCCGGGAGCGCCGCCGCCCGCGCTCTGG